GAGGCGGACACGGAGGGCGGGGAAAGTCTCCTTCTGCCGCCCGGAGCCGGCGGCGGAGCCCTGTAGGAGCCCGCTGCCGCTCCCAACCGCCGAGTTCCCCGCCCTTCCCGTTGGCGCCGCGCGGCTGCCCGGGGCGCGGAGTGCCCGAGCTGTACGTGCGCTTTAGGCCGGCCGGCGGGAGGCAGCGGCGAGAGGCGTTTTTCCGGAGCGCCCGCTCGGGCAGCAGGGCCGAGGACTGAGGCGAAATAAATAATGCACGAAAAAGGAAAACAGACGTGAGCGGAGCCGGAGCTTCGCCCGCCTCCCGCCCGGAGCTGCGCTCCCGCCCGCGCTCCCCGCCGCCGCCACCAGCGCCGCTGCAGTGATTCCTCGACTCCATCTAGCGAGGCTATTGTGTATTGGGCGCTTAATAATTTATTTATTCACCCTGGAGGCCGAGGACTCCCAGTTCCTCGGGATCTTGCGCCTTGCTTCTCCTCTCCCCAAGTTTATCCTGAGACTAGGAGAAGGTGTCAGGGTCTGACTTGTAGAGACACCCCTTTTGCACTCCATCTTTGCGGACACCCATTCTCACGGACTCCATGGGTCCCAGGACTGTAAGGTGCAGGCCGCCTCTCCGAGGCCATGTACTTTATCCTCCCTCCCCTTTGCAGCCCCGGCACTGGGGCCACTCCTCCAACACTGCGCTGCCTCTGGAGGGAGTTGCGACGGCCCTGGGGAGGATCTTTCCACCACCGCTTTTCCTCAACATCCGCAAACTCCTCTTTGAGGGAAGATTATCAACAAGTCGGTTGTTCCAGAAGGAGCCCTATTATGCCTCCTGCAGACAAACTGCTCCTAGCTTCCGAAGCAGCTTCGCAGGCCCGCGGGCGCTCTGATCTGCTAGAGGCACTTTGCAAGCGCTTTGATTGATGGGGCTGCTCTGAGTGGGGGAGGGGGCTTCCAACGAGGCCGCTAAGACCTGGACAATCCTGTTTAGCTAGACGATAATACCAGGCGCTTAGGACGCAGAGCAGAGTCAGACCTCAGTGCATTCATCGAAGAAACATTTACTTAGTACCTTTTCTCAGTCTCCAGGGCACACTTCGGCCACCCCCTCTACCAACCGTTTGTTCTGCAAACCAGCTTTCAGACCACTGTCTTAGCGACCTTCATGTCAGAGCCCCGGGACGCGCGACACTCTTCTTCGTAGGACTCTGCGGATCCGCACCTCCACCAGGGAGATCCTGGGGAACAAACATGAATGAGGCATGGTCCTTTCCTCCCATTTCCTGGCGGGAGGGGTAGGTGTGGTGGCGTTCTCTGGCTTTCCAGAGACGTGGGTGTGGGAAAGAGGCCTCCACTGGAAGAAGAGGACCGAGAAATGGAGACCAGAGGGAGAGAGAATAAAGGTTTCCAGGACAAGGCAACCAGGGCTAGGGGAGAATTTAAACCATTTAAGTGCCTTGGGTATTTAAATTGCCTTGCACAAAGATACCGAGTAGTTTATTCATTCATTCACTCATTCATTCATTTTATGAACAGTGTTCATGGGTGCCTATCAGAGGCCAGACTGAGCACTGGATGCTGGGTACAAACCAGTGAGCAAAACAGATCGGTTCACTGTCAGAGAGGAGGGATGGGAAGAAGTGACAGAGGCGGGGTTCCTAAGTGACTCATCCACCGTTTGGAGAAAGGGACTGAAGCACAAAATGGAGATCTATTGGTTAGCTGAGTTCAGATGACACTGATGTTCCCGTGCCTTCCTAGCTCAAATCAGTATTTTCCTCAGACTAGGACCTAAATCTTTAGATATGACAGCAGTCCCTCGGGTTTACACCTAGAGCCCTGCCACTTGAAAACTTTGTTTACATCAGTTTTTCATTCATGACTCGGTGAGATAAAGGCCATTGCCCCATTTGGGAAGCTCACAGATGTTTGTGATACAGCCAGAGTCACACAGCAGCCCCACTGGGACTCAGAAGCACTAGCTCCCAATTAGAGGTTTGAGACTGGCAAGCTTGGGCAGGTGTTGTATGTTGGGAAGTCTGCATTACCTGTTCTGGTCTTCAGCATTCATCTACTGGACCACTATGTACCTGTGCACCTCTTGAGAATCGCCTGGCCCTCATCTTCCTGGCCCATCCAGCACTGGAATTTTGCTGCCTCTGTTAGGGTGAAGACCAAGCTCACTCACAGGTCTCTCACGCCACAGCAGAACCTAGAGAGGTGCTAGCTCCTCTGACCCTTTCTGGGTGTAGTGGGGGACCCATAGCATGTCACACAGGATCTGCTGAGAGAGGCTGCCTGGCAGCTCTACTCCGAAATGCAAGGGAGTTAAACTTAGGGGGAAAACTTTGGCCAATGAAAGACAGAAGATGAAAGGAACCCAGCATATAGATTCCAGTAGTACCAGTTAACCTGGCAGGAGGTGTCCAGGAGGTGTAAGTGATTGAGCAACTGGCAATGTTTCCTTCTGATAGGTGGCCAGCTTGGTAATTCACAACTTTGTATTTGCTGCCCGCCCCACTACCCCTTTCTCCTTGTTTGTTTGTTTTTAACCCTGGGATTTTATTCCTCAGTAAAGCATCAGCAAGTATGTAAGCCAGGTTTCTCTAGAGGAACAAACCACTGGAATGTATATATAATTACTAGAAGGGATTTATTAGATTGCCTTATATAAACAGAGACTGGGTAGTTCTACAATGACTCTCTTCAGGCTGGAGAGCCAGGAAAAACCAGTAGCTATTCAGTCCAAGAACCTACAAACCTCAGAACAACAAGGACCAATGACGCTGCTCCAGTCCTAGGCTGAAGGCCTGCAAACCCCACAGAGAGTTGCTGGTGCAAATCCGGAGTCTGGAGTCTGTGAGCAATGGCAGCAGCAAAAGGTTCACCCGCTCCACGAAGGGAAGAGCTTGTGCGCTCCGGGAAGCTCCCCTCTTCTGATTTTTCTTCCATCGGGCCCAAGCCTATTGGATGGTGCCCCCCACACTTAGGGTGGGTCTTCTCCACTCAGTTCAGGGACCCACAGGCCAATCCCCTCTGGAAACACCCTCACAGACGTACCCAGAAGTGTGCTGTATTCATTTTCTAGGTAGACAACTAAGATGAACCATCACGGCAAGCAAACATTGCTTCATGCTCTGTCTCCTAAGGAACAGGGACAGTGGGTACCAAAAGTGACACTAAAAAGTAGAGCTTCAAGATAGGATGTTGGAGTTGGATTTCCCATCAATTTATAAGTAATCAAGTCCCCACGGTTGATGGTAAGTAGAGCCATAAATGACATAACTAAAGATTTATCTGCAGCTAATTGGAATGAAGTATAAGTAGAAAGCAAAGCTTTGTGAGCTCGTGGCCACTGTGTTGCTCAGTGTGGGAGAAATGGTAATCATAAAAACTGGGGGGATTTGTTAGGTAGATTTTTCAGACAATACTGGAGGATTTATGAAAATGAAATGATAGGCTTAGGGAAGCTATTTTCTAACTTAAGCCATGCTTCACAAAATTTTAAAGGATGTTCTTGAAATTCACCAGACAGATTATATTGAAAATTAAACTCAGGATCTGAGTGAAGGATGGCAGAACTGAAAAGGAGCCGAAATGTATAGCCACATAGGTGCCTTGGGTCCAAGTCAGAGCTGTGGTGGAGAAATTGTTGAATGTTGTGATCTGAAAAAGAGACATTTGAGTGGAGACACCTGAACATTTTGGATCTAGAAACTTCCTAAATCTTCTGGCGGAGAGAAGCAACTCTCTCTCCCTTGTTAAAACAGAACAGCTGCTCTTGTCCTGGCTACCACGGTAACCTCACTGAAGTAGTACTTTGCAAGATGGTACTTGTTCCCCTGACTATAGCCTGGGGCATCTCTTCTCAGAGATAATCACGAACAGCCACCAGTAAAGTCACAAGACTATCCAGCTTAGGAACCCCAGACCAGGAGAAGAGCTGACTATAGATGTCTAGAATGGGAGCTGGTTTGGGGGAAGGTTATGAATGTCAAAGAATGGATGTCAGCTGTAGCAGAGAGACTCTAGCTTGGTTTATGAATCCTTCATGTCTTTTTTTTAGGAAGTTATAATTACCACATAAAAAAATGGACTTGTACCTGTGCTTTTAAATTGATGGCATTTTGTTCTCAAGTTGGATCCAAATGTCACAGGAGAAGGGAGAAACTTGGTCTTAATCCATTTTCTACAGCCTGGACTGGGTAATTTAGAAGAGAAGTTTATTTTGTCTCATGGTTCTGGAAGCCCAAAAGCGTGCACTGGCCCCTTCTCAGGGTCTGATGATGGCCTCATTGAACAAGGGCAAGCGGGCCCATGCAGAGGGAGGTCACATGACAGTAGAGGAAGCAAGAGACAGAAAGCCAAATTTGATTTTATAAGAACTCTAGGGGAATGACATTAATCCCTCATGAGGGTGGAACCGCCATGACCTCAGCTCTTAAAGATCCTAGCCACTCCTTAACACTGTCACTTTGAGAAATTAAACCTAATATGAGTTTTAGTGGAGACAAACCATATTCGTACTACAATGAATTGAATGGTGCAGGGGAAGTGGTCTATATTGGGCTCATTGTCACATTTTTGGGGTTTACTTGGCTCCACCTCTCTTTCCATGCTTCTCCAAGGAAGGGGCCATAGCAGCAGTGGGAGTCAAGCCCCGCTGACTGGAGTCATGGAGTTTTACACAGATCAAGCTCATACCACGGGGAATAGGCCCTGGCTTCCCACTACTGTCTACAGGGGCTGAGCTACATGACCTGAAAGTGTGGGAGTGGCTGCTCTGAACACTGATCCATGACAGGGTCTAGGAAGGTATGGCAGATGATTTATCTCCCTTTCTCTACCCATGGTCCAGATGGCTTATTCCAGTGTGTCTTGTGGAGTGAACAGCTGGCTGCGTTTCCTGGCAAAGCTTTGGCCAGCCCAGCACCAGCTCTGATTTCCTTTCTTTCCTTACCTCCTTTCTTATATTCCCTCGCTCTTTCTAACCTGGGGTTGCACACTCTAAAATGTATAATCACATAATCTTTGTTGCCAGCTTCCTTGTTCAGAGAACCCCAATTTAGTCAAGTTTTGAGAGGTTTTGTGGGTGCAGAGGCTGTAGCCACAGACATAAAACAAAGTAGAATATCATGGCAACCAGGACATCTTGTGTCCCTGAACATCTGGATATTTGCAGGAACTGAAAGAGGTGGCTTCTTCTGTATCCAGTTGATTGCCTTTAGGCTTCTAGGAGTCTATGAATATGGGCAAATTCTAGCAGTGAGAGTTTCATGCTGGTCAAGAACCTAGGCTCTGGAGTTAGACTCCTTGATTCTCACCCGATGT